ATTAATTATATAATGCGTTGGATAATACATCAATCATTACATGTTTCGTCCTCGGGTTTTGGCCATTCTCAGATGTCTAAAATTTAAGTCGCAGTAAAACCTTATGACGGTCTAGAGACGGTTTTAGTTAAGAATTATTAAAAAATATACAAAAATTACAAAACTAACAGAAAAATTGAGTGACTGTTCGGATAAACCCGGATACTCGTCAAGCGATTGAATGACCGTTTGCATAGATATCTCATGATTGTCTGGGTCCCTCAATTGTAACATAAAATCAGAATAAATTTGTAAAAAATAATGTAACAAGTAATAAAATATTCAACATGAATATTGTTAAAGTAATAAAATATTCAACATGAATATTGTTAAAGTAATAAAATATTCAACATGAATATTGTTGAATATTTTAATATTTTATTACGTGTGACATTATTTTTTAGAAATTTATTCTGATTTTGTGTTACATTTGAGGGATCTAGACAATCATGAGATATCTATGCAACCGGTCATCCAATGGCTTGACGAGTATCAGGGTTTCTCCGAATAGTCACTCAATTTTTCTGTTAGTTTTGTATTTTTTGTATATTTTTTATTAATTCTTAACTAAAACCATCTTTAGTCCGTTTTACTGCAATTTAAATTTTGTACATCTGAGGATAGCCAAAACCCGAGGCCGAAACATGTCATGATTGATGTATTATTAAACACATTACATAATTTTATTAATGTTTAATTTTTATGTTAATTTTTTTTATATGGTTATGTCAATATATTTACGTTGATTCAATTTTTAATTTTAGATGTTTGACTTTTATTAGCCTGTTACTCTTATTAGCCTATTTATTATATTTTGAATACTAAAAGAGTCCTTTACTTTTATATTTAATATTTATTAGGATTAAAATTTCTATAACTGTATTAATATTTTTTTATTTTCATATCACGCGATCTGTTGGGGCTGTTATGCCTTTGCAAATTCAAATGCAATTTCGATGGAATATCTAACATAATATTGTAAACATTGTTTACATTTTTTATAAAAAAAGATGTGTATTTTAATCAAGACATCACTTTACTCTGAGACACGTTACACACATTTTATAAGAGTAAGTAATTTAAATTTTTAATTTAATGTGCAGTTAACATATAATCTAAAAATACAACTTTAAACGCATTTTTCTCAAAATCATCTTTTTCAATCTAGTTGACAACAAATCAAAAAATCTATTCGACCTATTAACTTGCTGTAAATTGCATTTTGTTCAGAAAACTTGCTTCTATCGCCGGATGTAGCCGTTTTTTAATTAATAAAAATTTTACAATTTTATTCAACTTTTTTGTAACAAATAGGTTGAATAAAATTGTGAAATTAAAAAATTGTAACATAAAATTAGAATAAATTTGTAAAAAATAATATAACAAGTAATAAAATATTCAACATGAATATTGTTGAATATTTTATTACTTGTTACATTATTTTTTACAAATTTATTCTGATTTTGTGGCCAAATTATAAAAAAAGATTCTCACGTCCGCCATTTTGTTACTTTTTGCAATTTTGTTATTTCTCTACATCCGGCTATAGCTATATTCATTTTTTACTATTATAATTTATTTTTTGTTTGATACAGCGCATATACTTGATTTGTTGTCAACGAGGCAAAAGTAACTGTTCAAGGTTACCCTTTGTACAGCTGCCGTTATATATTATTATAATCAAGAAAAAAAAATTTTTTTACATACCTCAGTATTGATATACAATAAAGACGCCATAAAAGTTACCTGATTTTATCATATATTTTTAAAAAATTCCCAAAGGACTTCCTGTTTTTCAGGCCTTCATCCTGTCTATAGTCCTTAAATAAGTTTCCATTGCGTCTACTTGATTTCTGAAAAATATGTTCACATTTGATATAATTATAGAATGATCATTATTTCTAACGCATTGTTTTATTTTTAAATCACTTTACTGTATATTTCATATTTTTGCAGTTTAATCATTGTTATACGTTATTAATATTTTAAATTGAACTTGTCAGTTTCGTGTTCACTCAACGTTTATTTAACATAGAAATAATTATAAAGATTCTACAGAAATATAAATGAAACAGACACTGAGCTAAACAGATGTTTTAAATTTTCTTTACAGCTATTTTATTTTTCTATAGAAAAATTTGCTAAATCCCTGACTTTCCCTGACTCCTGACTTTTGTGGCAAAACCCTGATAATTATACATTTTTCAAAATTGTTTTCATAAAAAGAAACTTTCATAATATTAAGGATTATTTCATTAATTATTACTTTTAATCATCGATATTATAAAATAACCTGATTGGACTAATGTTTTTATGCATGCTAGCAAAATAAGCCTACTCACTGCAATGTTATTCCATCGGCGTCCAATTATGCTTTTTTATGTCTCCCTCTCCTTTTCATGCACAAAGTGTCGAGCCGGCTTTTCTCTTCTCCTCCCATTATTTTGCGTAGACATTCGTTGAAGCAATCATTTTTTTAAATTAAATGCGCGTCCTTCTCTGCAATAAACGACAAATGTATAGGTTTAAGTTTCAATTATCATTACATACTCGTCTTAGAATCCGTCTCATATCCACCACAATTTACAAATCACTAAATAATGACGCGTAGAGTTTAACTGAGATGGCAAAGAATCTTCGTTTTTGCGCGTCTAAAGCGACGCGACGTCAAGGCGCTGCAATAGTATCGCTATATATGTTTCTCACTCTTGGCGTCGCGCGTCGTGTTCATGCATTTTCCATATTTCGAGCATAAAATTTTTTCTCTAGGATGGAAAGTGAAAACTTTTACCATTGAAATTAATGGAGAAATTTTTTATTTTTCATTCTAAAGAAAAAGTCTTATGATCGATACCCAAATATATCTAACTAGCGATCTTTTCTCTACAGCGGAAACGCGAAAAGTGAAATTTCAAACACCCTGTATAAAACTACGTATTACGACCGTATCGTTTACGCAAACAATTACAGTACACAAATACCGAATCTCTTAGTTGCGTGATAAATATCGAAAAGTGATTAAATGCAAGTTTACATATGTTTTAATTACCACATTTGCGCTGCCACTCTGCGTCATTCCCAATCCATTCCGCGAATGAAACGCGAATGTTATCGAAAAATAGGGAAGTGGCGTTGTTTTCCGCGTGCGACCAACTTCATACGTAATAAAAAGCGACGCGATCGCGACCATCACTTATTTGTCTTGATTTTCGCGCAAACGAGTAAAATTATGCGTTCGAGAGTTCAAAGACCGTACGATTGTTCTTAAAATATTTCTCGCGTCACATATGTTAAAATATTAATAATGCAATAATAATTATTAGTTACCTCGTTGGTAAATAATTCCGCGTCGTTCTCGTTGTTTTATTCTCTGCAAATGAGGATACATCAGGACGTTTCTGGAGTTGGCGGAGATCAGGATACTTCCGAAGATATAAGTGGAGGATCAGGATATTTCCAACGATAGCGCAGGATCGGTATACTATCTTCCGAAGATAGTGGAGATCAGAATTCTTGCGGAGATAGTGGAAATTCTTTCCAGAGGAAAGATTCCAGTGCGAAACAAGAGATCGAAGAGCGAACCAATAACAAGCGACGACAGGTACAAACTCGTCCGCTGGCCGAAGCGCAAAAGTGTGTAACTGCGAATTACGCGATACTTATATGCTCCGATCAGACTCGAACCCCACCACTCGCAGTCAACCAATGAGCGCGATGTCGCTCGATGCTCTGCTTCAAGCGCTGGTTGGATCACCGCTAGCTTTCTATTGAAGTGTATAAAACGCGACGCGTAGAATTTTCAATAATTTTCAGATTTTGATGCTGTGTAGAGTGTGGTTTCTGAGGACAGAGAAGTTGGCATATATTTAAAACGCAATTTTACGTTGATAGTGCACATTCTGAATATAGGTTAGAAACTACATTCGTATATTTATGAAAATTAAATACCAATTCAAATAATTAAATGAATTCATATCGGCCTTTTTCCTGTTACCGTCGAAATCGTCCGTACATCTGTTTTCGTTTTGAAAATTACGTCTCTTACATTTTTGACGTACTTTCTGCTATATGATTTCCCCCTGCCTTGATACAACGAAAACGTCAAAAACGCTAATTTTATCGATGTAATAACTACGTTTTGTAAAAATTTATAAGGAAAAAATCGATTATCGTGGGTGTACATACAAGTGTAAAAGTAAAGTGTAAGGTAAAAGCAGGGATTATGGAGAGAGAATAGCGTTTTTTAAATTAACATTGCTCCGATATAAATGCATATGAAGACTTTAAATTTACACAGAACTCTTAAGGAATATGTTAGCCACAACATCCAATAAATAAAAGTCGCCAAAATTTAAATGGAAAGTGTAAAAGTAAAGTGTATTTCATATTCATTTTGTATTTCTTTGACAAGAGCGTGAAGATAAAAACATTTTTATAGTTTATATTTTTTTCTTTCTATCGATTCCTACAATACTATGATCAAATATTCGGAAAAAGGGACTAAATACTCTTTTTGAATTGCAAATAACTTTTTAAATATTGATCATAATAGATGTAACTTCTCAAAGACATTATGTACATGTGATATAATGAAAAAGTAACAAATTATTTTAATTTTTATCAAAATCAAGATTTTTTAATTAGGCCTTTATGAAGAACCTAGTTTATTCTTTCACAGCTGGAACAAATTATATGAGGATGTATTTAAATGATTTACGTGCAGTCTAAAAAATAACGGGGTTACAATCGAGAGAGACAAAAATAAAAATAAATTTATCTATTTTTTTAGGCATGTTATACTTACATATACCTGGACAAAGCATATTTCGAAATTCACTGAACAATTGATTCTTACTTACCGCGTTCTGAGTAAGAACGCTTGTATTTGGTAGTAGACAGTTGTTATCGATAAAACGTAACATACAATCTCTAAAATTGCGAACTACATTTTTCAAACAATATTTTGCACAATCATCCTTTTTATTACGATACATAGCTTGTACATACATAATATATATATTTTTTTTTGTTTTGTATCCTCTAAGCTTACAGATATCACTGCATAATTTGTCAATAAATCAAGTATAAATCATAACAGTGACTTATACCTTAGTGAGTAACATTATTGCGTCGTCCTCGTCTCTTGCGACTACCACCGGATGAACGATTTGTCGAGGCCCATTGCTCATAGAAACGTTCAGCTTCGAGCCATTCCTGATACTTGTACCACCATTCTTCCCATTTGATATAATCATCTAAAGTGAGATCACGAAGATATCCCCTCGCTTTGTAATAATCATATCGAACGCGAACATCATCCCAGCATTCAAAACCTCTTGGTCCTTGCGCCAAAAGTGATTCAGGATAATGACCGGGAGGTGGTGAATCATATCCTAAACGCGCGATTCTCTCCTCACCCTCTATAACGACTTTCATTGCATTCTCGCCATCTTTCGTGATACGCATATTTTCCATATCCCTACGATCTACACTCCACTGCGCCATTTTACCAAATCTGTGAAAATTAAATAAGATTATTATCTATTTTGATGGAAAAACTAGAATTGTGTGGACTAAACTTGAATGTTACAATATTGCATTTGATTTTTAATACCGTTCAGATAATGTCATTTTTGGTGGTCCTACATGGGATGTAGTCGAGGAACTATCACTGTCTTCGCTGGGTGAAGATTCTGGCTGAGGCCGTATTATTTGTGATGCTCCATGACTTGTATGTGTTTTTTCTACTTTTACTGGTTTACGTATCTACACAATTTTAATAAAAGTTATAATAACAAAATCAATTAAGACTTCTTATATAATTCGAAAACAAATTAGAGAGAATAAAAGGCAATAGGAGAAAACACCACTACTAAGTGACAAAACCCATTTATTCGAATAACTCTCTTTTATTATGACAGTAGCTCTCTTACATGTTTCGGCTAACTTTTTAGCCCTCTTTAGAGAAGCAAACTAATTTACATAACTATTCAATACAATTTTTCAATCAACGGTGAGTGCCTCCACGTTGTGATAATTAAGATACAGAATAAATGACAGACAAAACTAAATGAATGAAAAAGAAAAACAGAAAACTTTTTAATTGAGTGACGTCTTCTGCGCCCTTTATTCTTTCCAATTTGTTTTTTAATGAAAATATTCCTAACATATGCAAACTGTAATTTTGAACGCGTTATTATGTATAATGTAATATACTTATCCAGTGTTTAAGAAATTGTTGATATATAATTTTATATTTGTTAGAGATTAATTGATTACTACAAGTTTGACAATAACATAAAAAAAAAAATATGTTTGACAAAAATCTTTTTTAAAAAAATTACAAGAATGAAAGAATAATAAGAAACTGTTATTTTACCAATGAGATAGGATCTGGTACTCGCGGATCTTCTGGTAATCTGGTATGATGTTTCTCTTTACGGCGAACTTTGGCTTCTTTCTCTTTGATGTTCTTGTAATCCTTTTGATGACGCAGCGGCGGTTGCGGCGCTGGCGGTGGGGTACGTGGTCGCGGCAAAGGCGGCGACCGTGGTCTCGTGCGCGACTGTAAGGTCCGTGAACTCGTCGACGCGATTACATCCTTGTGATGTGTCCTAGTTCGTACCGGACTAACCGATCTCGAATGCGAACGAGACAGTGGCGCAACGCGTCGTCGTTCCTTCGGTGAACAAACGGAACATGATCTGTCAGAACATGTACTGCCTGTGCTAGAACTACGAGCGGCTGGTCTGTTTTTATTGCGTTCGCGGGAAGAACGTTCACGCGGTGATCGTGGACTTCTTGTCCGAGGACTGCGGGGTCGTGGACTGTGAGGGCTACGGGATCTTGGACTCCTCGGGCTCTTAGGATGTCCTCTGCTAGGTTCACTGCTGCTACCAACGTATAATTCCTTGTATCCACTATGACGCCATCTATTTGGATCTCGCTCCTCTGCTTCCAATAGCTTCTTGTTCCAATAGCTCGATTGTGACTCTCGTGCTTTTCGCATTACATTATCTATCTCTTTTCGCTTACTGAAACTCTCTCCGTGTGGTCTGGATTGTGATACGCTCGTGTCCATTCGCAACCTGCTCGAATTGGTGCTGCTACTGCCTCTTCTTCTATCATAATCTCGGGATGACATTTCTAAGGATTTAATTTTTGTCGACAAATTTAATTTCTTTCTACTTGCATTACATTATTATTTAATCAAAATATAACAATTATATCGATAAGTAAATTGAAATAAACAAACGTTTATATTTTGAATACAAAATAATACATGTATTGCTAATTTAAATGTTTCAAAGTGAAATCAATTAAAAATAGACAGTTTTAATGACAAAATTGCGATAGATTAAAATATATTTACCTTACAGCAAAAGTACAAGATGGAAGACGAAGATACAGCAGAAAAATACTTTGTCAATCCAGGCACATCAGTCTAATACAATGCAGATATTAATAATATTAATCCTCCATAGACAATATGCTGCACCTAATAAGGATAATGCTCCAAACTGCTGGAAATGTATGTCCGAAAGACCATAGGAAGTCTCAGAAGCACTCGTCCTTAGAATCGACCAGTAGGCCTAAGTGAAAAATTCTACATGTCACAAATCTGATTGAAACGTCATTAAGGTTTTCGAGAGACGTTAAAGATAGCAAAGTGCATTCTTTTGGGGGACTTTTTCTCACGTGACTCCGATTATTATTTTTTTTTTTTTTTTTTTTTTTTTTTAATATGTATGTACGTGATACATCCTCGTGGCCAGAGTATCGGCGTACACATCGCCGATGTGCGATGTCTTACCATCGGTTCACTCACCGCGGGTGTCCAATGAGAGGATCCATGCGTGCCGCGTTATGTTCCGCATGCGAAACGAACGCGGGTTCAAAGTTCTCCGGAGAACTCGAGATTACCGCGCGCGCGCGCGGTACAAGCACGTACGAATCCGCCGATGACCCCCGCCGGGGTGGTCACGAGCCGCGGAGATGGTCGCAATACGAGCGATTATTGCGATGCCGCGCGCCGAGCGGAACATATTCGTGCGCGTCGGCCGAGTAACGCGACGTGTAACGCGCTCCATCACGCGACGGCACTTGACGGCAACGGCAACGACGACGACGACGACGACGGACGTAGGACGTCGCACACATGCTCAATTTAGTACGTACGTTTAGCCGCCGGCCGAAGGAAGCCGCCGAATCGAACTCGCACGGCCCGGGTGTCACGTTAACGATATCGAGTGTCTGATATACGCGCGGCGTAACGCCGCCAACATCGCCTTCGGGACGACGGCAGGGCGGCGACGGGCACATCGCCAGCCGTCGATTACACGGTCACTCGCGACGCGCGACCTCGTGTACCTTGATTCTCTTCTATGAATGTCCTGTCCCTTCTTCTTTTCTTTTCTTTCCTCCCTTTCTTAACGCGACTCGTACGAGGCCCATATACAGTATACTGCAATTTACTGTACACGTCGGAGTCCTTGCGCGGGCTTCGAGATGCTTCGAGAGATCACGGTGGATCACGGACGACGAGGAGGACGATCGTACGTGCCGATGGGGGCGGCACTGTGCTCTCGAGCCGGGGCGTTACCCGGGTAACGCTGCCTGCGACGAAATTCCCCTTTGCCACGGTGGCGAGAGATGGCTTTTTCGAGAGAGGAAAGAATCGTTCCGTTTTCGAGAGAGAGGAGACAGCCTGTATGCGATTGGTAATAAAGCGCATGCGCGCACTCATCCGCTCGGTTTGCCAGCGTCAGCCCCTCCTCGCTTCATTTTATTAAAGCGAAGGTCGACGGCACTTTTTTTTTTTTTTTTCTTTTTTTTCCCCCTTTTTATTTTCATACCCTTTCTTTCTCGTCCACGCGCATCTTCTTTTTCTATCTCATTCACTTAGCCACAGATACACGCACGCATGCATATCTCACACTCACACACACACACTTTCTCTCTACGTATCTCTCTTTCTCCCCTTCCCTCCCATCCTTCCTCTCCTGCTAATATAAACCTCTTGACATCACATTAGTGAAATTCGAATATGTCAGTTTTTTTTTTTTTTTTTTTCCTGTACATACATATAAGCGCGTTTACTCACGACTACCGTTTGTGTTTAACAACTCGCGTCCGGTAAACGGAGAGAGAGCGTTTCAGAGCGTTTCGAGAAAAATCAATTGCTCTCGAATCTAACACGCCTCGGACTCGACCCGAATATTTTCTTTCTGTCGGGATCTCCGCATCTATCACACAGGACGAACGGACACTCACTTTTCTTAACGCGACGACCCGATTACTTGCATTATCTGGTACGTAATCCCGGCCGATTTGCTCTCGCGTGATGTCGAATATGTTCACAATGGACTTCCGTAAAGGAGGTTCTTCTATCACTTAACCATTAACTATTGAGATAGATAGTGAGCGCACTTAGAGGTTGCGTTCCAAAAAGCATAATTATAGTAACTGAAACTTTATAGTTTACGTCAACTATAGAGTTTTCAGGTTTTTGGAACGCACCCCAGGGGATCGATCGTATAAAACTTTTCCCCCCAGGGCGAAAACGTGAAAAATTAACTCTATTTATAAATGCGCAGGATATATGTACACTTGTTGATTAAGGAGTAGGCGTAGAAATCAGCAAATCATAATCGAAGAGGATAATTAACTATCATTGGTCGATTTCTACGCCTACTCCTTAATCCATCACTGCTACTGCCTATTGTAGAATGGGCTTTAGTATTTATATTGAACACCCTCAAGGCCATCATGGGCCTTCTACAATAAGCCATAAGTTATAAATCGGAAGTAAGAAACTAAAAATTGACGACTGTGATTGGTCCATTTCTAGCTTATGCCTTATGATTTGTGACTTACGGCTTATTGTAGAAGGCCCATCACACGTACGAAAATTTTAGTAGGAATCGTAAGGTCTTAAGCAAATCGACCAATCACAATCAAGATTACGATCTCACATTTTAATACGCTAAACTGTGATTGGCCGATCTGCTTAAGACCTTACGATTAATACTAAAATTTTTGTACGTGTGATGGCCTTAAGGTCGGATTATACTGGCCGTAATCTGTCAACTTACGCCGTAATCTGTAAAAATTGACCAATCACAGTCGAATGAGAGGGGAATAATCGATTATAATTGGTCAATTTTTACAGATTACGGCATAAGTTAACAGTTTACGGCCAGTATAAATCAACCCTAAAGCTCTATTACCAAAACACGTGATAATAACCAATAAAGCCAGCGGCACACGGTTGCTTGTTTTCCTGCTGGATTACTAGCTAGATCAGATTCTTGCCATTGGATTGGCTGCGATATTGGCACTTTCAGCACCGCAGCCAATACGGTGGCAAGATTCTAATCCAGCAGGAAAACAAGCACCGTGTGCCGTAGGCTTAATACAGCTCAATATAATGCAACCTTGCTGCTATTGGCTCTCTTCATATAGCACAATGTGGATTCGCCTATAATCGCGCGAAGCATAACTGCGAAATTTCAAATCTTCTTGACACTAGTGCGAATAGTAAGTATACATTTATTTTTAAGTTATTGTAAAATAAATGTTTATTATTACTTCCCCATACAGTAGATTATTTCAGTAATACAGCAGCAATATTCAAGCAATTCTGTGCTATGCATGGGTTATTATTTATACATGATTATTTTTGATATTTTATTTACAATGAAAGGCATGGAAGTGCCTCTCTGATTCAAGCTTTGAAAATGTTTTCTAAATAAAAATAAGGGATACGTATTTTTTTATGGCACATTCGATACATATGCACTTACACGGTTCTAGTGCTGCCCTGACACGGAGCGAATGCAAAACTACACTAATTAAGAATTAAATTAATAATTTAATTTTTAATTAATAATAATAATTTAATTTTTTTGTTTTTAATTAATTTCCGGCTTTTCTTCTTTTATTAAACATAACATATCTTCATCATCACTACTACTACTTGTTTCTAATAATAGTCCAGTCAAATTGTACCAAAAAACTATCTAATTTGGCATTTCTAAAACGCTGTGCTGCATTAATGCAGTCTGTCGAATTCGCCATGACATGTGTCCGGTATACGCAGGGAAGAAACTCTTTTTAGATTAGATTATGTTATTTTATTTTGATTCGAATATTGTCGAAATTATGATAGAAAAAGTATTTGAGATAATAGTTGATTTCAAAAATACTTAATAATATCAAACAATTTGTTAAAGTAAAGGTAAAAAATTCACTGATTCAGGCTCTTGTCGGACACGTTTTTTTTACTATGTAGAGTAAAGGATGTTTCTACATACGTTCCTGAGGAATCGTCCAGTTCTACATGTTCTTTGATATACGCATGCCCAAATGATCTTTGATTTGTAGAAATTTTGGGACAACACAGCGTTTTAGAAATGCCAAATTAGATTAGTTTTTTTTTTTTTTAGCAAGGAAAGTCCTGAGTTTGGTAAACGTTTGGTAAACTTTTGAAAATTGAAAGCACCCGATTCGAAACGCGTCCGCCGCGGTCGAATAGTTCTTCAGAACTCATGGTCCATCACGGACCGGCTGATCCGGTCAGCTTGATCATTTCGTCGTCTGTTAGATTTCGCCCGCAGCGTCCGTAGTGGAACGGCAATAATACTGCGGTCGTGGTCGTCTCAGACTTAAGTGGAACGCACCCTTAGATAATCCTAATTCAAATCAATGAATAAAAGTCGAATTTTAATATAAAATGTATATACATAGAGATAGTCGTATTCTTAAAATAAATTTATAAAAACGTCTATAAAAAATTATTTTATTGAATTTTTATATATTAATACAATTACAAAATAATCAAATTTTGTTTCTACCACACAAGACGCGCGCGCGCATGCATGCATGTATCATACATACATGTATCCATTCGTATTTTTTTCTAATAATGTAGATTATATAACAAAAAGTGGGCAATTAATCTAAACAAAAAAGCTCCTAAATGTTATGTAACTATATGTAAAGGTTTTGTGTAAAAAAAATAATTGAGTATCATATCATTCTTTCTACTGCTTTTAAACGCACGTGTATAAAGTTCAACATTCTGTGATATTACAGAATATAGCTCATATGTTGCTTTCTTTATAATACTATAATCTCATTAAAAACTTATTAAGAAACACCATTTGTTTTGTATTATTAATCAAAACTGAATATTTCTTGTTCATTCTGTTTCTTAAGAGATTAGAGAATTAATGAATTATCTTTCAATAACGATCGCAGGTATCTCTTGTAATACAGATTTTCCTGCATTAGCTTTAAATTATGCATGGACGCACGCACGCACGCGCGTATGTGTGGATATACATATATACAGGGTGTCCGGAAAGTTTCTTCCAATCGCTTTTGTGTAGATAGAACGGACCAAACTGAGTTCAAAAGTGTAAACTTTTTTATTAGATAATTAGATAATTTACTTCATATACAGAGTATCTTAAAGCGTCTACAAAATAAATCATATAGCGCTATTCCTGATAAAAAAAACTGATTTGTAAGTCTAAAACTTATAAATCATTTTGCAATTTTTTGGTTATTACAAAAAAATAGGATGTCTAGAATCGACACATGAGCCAATTTTAAGAAATTTGTAAGATTCCATTTTTAAGATAGTTCACACAGAAAAAAAATCTTAAAATTATCTTATTCATTAATTTTACCCACTTATTCGATAATTTTTCTAATGTCTCGTTAAGTATTGTCAAAATTACAAAATGGTTCATAAGTTTTATATTTAGCTTTTTTATCAAAAATAGCGCTATATGATTTGTGGATGCTTTTTAAAATAAACCTTGTATATATGTATACACACACAAGCGTGCACACACAAAATACACACACGCACCTCCAAGTATGCAGTTTAATCATCAAAACCACTTGTTTTTTTTGTTTTCCTTTGCCTTGGACTTTGCTTTGGAATTCTAGGAGATTTATCTGTAAACAAACATGATTTCTTTTTATATTATTTTCTATTATAAGCTCTTCAAGTAATACACTTTAATGTAATAATACAAATTAGAAATTTATAAATATCAACTATGAATATAATTTATAATAGCAATTGAGATACGATAGATAATAAGATCTATTATCATCAAATGGAAATACAAAAACTAAAATTTATGTTTAAAATCTTTATAACAATTCAACCAAATTCTAAAAGAAATCTTCTTACTGACTCTCCAACTTCAAAACCAAGAAATCCTTTCATAGAACCCGCCAAAAATAGACTTTGGTGGCTCGGAATAAGAGACATGTAGTGTCATTTATTGATCTTTTAATTTAAATTAAGTAGTTTTTTTTAACATGGCAGGAGACAGTATCGCGTCTCCTAATATGTAACATCAAATCTTTCAATTGGTTGTGACTTCTTGCAAAATCCAAAAGGAAGAATTATTGTATTAGATGTAAAGGACTCAAAAAAAGAGTTTTAAACTACTAATTGTATTGATAAATAATAATAAAGGATTTCAAGGGATCCATTTTTAATTGATTGCGTACCAACAACGTGGCACTCTCACTCGCCCCCTTTCATAGGATTTCTTGGTTTTATAATAATTATTAATATTTAATTAATTTGCAAGATTATTTAAGGGTCTATTTCACCAATTTCTGGTTAATGATTGACCTAATTTGGTACTTACAACTTAATAAATAAAATTATATGTACCTCAACTGTACTGTATAATGCAAATATTAGAACTACTTTTCTAATAACAAATATCTTATAATTGTATTTTTTTCAGTATTTTAGCTATAATTTAATTGACCAGAAATTCGATAAATATCTCCGCTATGATTCCTGCTTTAAAAGCGCTAAATTATTGTTAGATGTGCAGTTGTACAATTTCTCAATTACATCAAAAAGTTACTATCTGATAATAAATAAACTACTTGATTGATTTCAGATGTAAGCAATTTTTATTAGCTTTTGATACGTCTATTACTTACTGATTCTATTGAGAGTTTCTTTTGGCAGCCAATCATAATCTACATTGTTAGGATTTGATGTACCCATTTCTACTGGTACTTTACGAGTAGTAGAAGAACGCGATTTGCGCCCCAGAGATGACAACAATTGTTGACCTCCTACAAGAGTCAATATAACACATGCTGCAAGGAATACATAAAGAAAAATAGTTTCTCCATCAAGACCGTCGTCTATCTCTATAATTTGTACAGTTTCATTAAAGACCGCTTCATTGTAGGAAATGCCATTCTGCAAAAAAAAAAAAAAACAGTAATATATCACACAATACGTGCAAGTTATGTATTATTTCTAAACATATAGAAATATTGCAAAAAATATACATAATAAATAAAAAAGCATATTTATACTTTATTAATATCATTATTTTATGTAACATCTTATATTTGACATTATACATACGGTATCTTTATAATTCAGGTTAACATTCAAGCCAAACGGCCTTCCAGCGAAACTTTCAGATGGTATAAAAGAATAAGCTAAAGTAGCTTCATGTTTGGATTTCACAACTTTATTAAATGTGAACGTGGAAAAATTTTGAATATAAAAATTAAAGTCCATTGCATAACGGAAGGAAGCATCCAATGATTCCAGAACAAAGTCATTTTCACCCTTGTTAGTGAATCCAACAAGAAATTCTATTATATTTCCAGCTGGCAATTCTGTCAAAATTAAAATGAATTTTAGTATTATAAAAAAAAAATATATATACAGAGTGTCAGTGATCTACGACATCAGCGATTATGATAGGCCAAGCAAATGCGGCTATCTTTAAAAATTAATATTTCGTTAACTATTATTGCAACTGCAAAATGGTACAAGACTTTTCGATTCAGTTCAGTCTGTTCTACCTGCTTATGTTCGCTGATGTCGTAAGTCAATAACACCCTGTATATATAAGAGTACATTTTAACCTTAAAAAACAGTTTAAAAAATCAATAAAAGTACCGAGAGTAGATAACGTATTATGAACCGGTTTTGTAAAAAGTATAGTTGTATCGGCATCGGTTGAAGCATTACTGATATCTTCTTCTGTTTCTTCATCAGTTATTATACTACCTTCTTCACCTTCTACATCGATAATATCATCAATATTTTCATCTTCTTGAGCATAGACATATCCTATATGTATAAATACAAATGTAATGATCTTTCAAATTTTATAATATTTAATGTAAATAATAATAATAACATTAAGAGAAGGTTCAACAATAATAAATAAACCAATATACGTTGTACAATATTTTTTCATTGAAAGTATTTTATTTCTATATTAATACTACATCAATGTAAACTTTCATTATAATTTTACTTCATATTGCTATATTTTTTAGAGAAGTTTTATTTGTTGCACCGTTACAATGCTTCCTGAGTTTTACTACCTTTGACGACTTTTAATGATGGACTACTTTAATTTGACCTGACTACATTTGGCAAGCATCCTAACGATCAGCATAATGTTTTAAAACTTATTTAATGCAATGTACTCATAATGAAATTGTTAAAATCCGTTATTGTTCTTTGTATATTCCATTAATAATTTAATAATTTGTCAACATTGAAAATAACCAGATTGATGTCAAAATGTCTGTTATTTGTTTATTTTTTATTATTTTAAATACATTTTCTTTGTAATATTTTTATTTCGGTTTGTTGCTTGTTAAATTATATTAATAAAATGTGAATAAATTCAATATAATAAAATAAATGTAAATATATATTTATGTTAAATATATTTATCACAAATTAATATATTTAAATAATTTCAACAAGTAATATATTATATAAAATTAAATATAATATCAATAGTCATAATAATTAACAGAAAATAAATTTAGAATATAAAAATAAAATATCTTATAAAAATACTTAATTTTAATAAATATATTTTGTAAAAACATGTTCCTAAAAATAACTATAATATATGAATCCAACGAGTACAAATTTTTAATTTACAAATCTCAATATAAAGAATGTAAAGTTACTTCCAAAAGTAAATAGTTATCGATTATCAAGTTTCTAAAAAAGTAATTTTATATATAGTTACTGTTACTATATATATAGTTACTGATTCTTAAAAGTAACTCATTATTACAAACAAAAGATTGAGCTAATAACAGTCAAATACAGTTAACTGTATATAATTATAAACATGCACGCACACATTTAAGTTTAAATATAAATAATAAATAAATATTTGGGTTTAGCTTTGTCATCTTCAGCATTAACTGCGTTTGACCCTCATTAACCCAATCTTTATACTTTTTAAATATATGACTTTTGCAAATGGCATCTTGCGTTGTAGCTGTATGTTAATTTCTATTTATGTTTATTTATCGTTGAACCATCTTTTTACACTGTTTGACTTTTTATATTTTTTGTTTGTTAAAATTTGAATCCTAATAATTCTTTTAACTCATTATCATTACTGTTACTTAAATGACGCTGTACAATTAACAACCTATAGATACAAAAAACCATAATCACCTATTTAGGCCTTATAGATTTTTGACAATAAGTCATTATCTAAGTTATAAGCCTAAGCTAGGTATAAGAAATTAACCAATCATAATTGATTATTCTTCTAATACTGTGATTGATTAATTTCTTATGATTTAAGACTTTACACTTAAATTATAGCTTATTGTAGACATTTTTTATTGTAGAAAGCCCATTAAGATTTTTGATTATCAACTGAAGAATCAGGTTAATTGTGTTTAAAGTAACAAGTTCTTTCTATATATATTCTCTAATTAATATAATATAATGTTAAGTACTTTGATGTTCTAGTAGATACATGAAAGAATAATGATAAAAACGAGAAAAATGTCGGAAAATTAAAGAAAAATTGAATTGTTTATCCAAAATATTTGACTAAATCATCATAAAAATTGAAAACTTCAGTCAGGTATTATTTCATATTTTGATTCTTATGCACATACTGTGAAATACGTTTTGAAAGTAAATTATAAATCAAATTACCTGTATTTGCTGCGAATGCAATTGTTGAAACAACCAAGAATAAGAAAATGTTGAAGTATCTCATTTTAATTTGCTGTTCAAAAGATATGCTTTTATTAAGAATACACGAATTAATTCTATCTCAACATTCACTGAGCCTATAACGTTCTGACATAACGTGCAATTGTCGTGACTACATTCTATCTGATGCTACGTGGAACTTGCTGTTATGTTCGCCACTACAGGTACAGTCGTCAATTCGTCAACGTGGAAGTGGAACCAGTGGAACTTGCAGTGTTGCCAACCAAGTTCTAACTTCACTCCAGATTATATTTGAAATCCCCCCAAATTCCCCTAAATCTTAATTTTTTTAGAAGCACAAATCCTCAAAAAGTAAATAACGATAATTATGCTTATTTTGTTGGAAAATAAACGATATTTTGCAATTTTATAATTGCTTCTTCTAAGCTTAAAGCCCATGGCACATAGGGATGTGATCGAGTTGCCGCTACAAATGCTTTAAAGCATTTTTTGATTGGCCAGTTAATAAAATTCTTTTTTCCGATTGGTCAGTCAAGTGCTTTGAAGCATTCGTAGCTGCAACTCGATCACATCATGTGCCATGGGCTTTAAAGCTTAGAAGAAGAAGATTTCACAGATGTGATTGTTTTCTTAACCTCAATAGTCATCAAATTTAACGCTTAATGACGCTTAATATATCGGTTCTTGGGACAGAGTGACGTTCATTTCTGTCAAATACTTTCATTTCATGCAAACGCGCATTGAGTTAACCTAATTTTATTAATTTTTGAGCTGCTGCAGCTAAGCTGTGTAATTACCGATCCTAAATCAATACATATAGTACGTATCTAAATGATTAATTAAATATTCATATCACACGTATCGCCGAAATTAATTCAATAGAAAGTTTCTAGTTAGTACTATCTGTATCAAGTGCACAATGTAAACTAGGCCATTAGTTTGTACCAATTTTCTTAATGATATAAAAAAAAAAGGATCATATCACTCTCGATTTATATTCATACTAAAGTAGGGATTGAAGAACAAATGTTACGTATAAATAATAATCATCGATATTACAGATATTAGCGAGTATGACTGGCCTGGGCATGGATTTTGAAGATGATTTCTTCTTTGAAGAGGATAAAATGTTGGTTATGTAGAAAATTGTGAATATTAATGTTTGTCAGTTATAATTTATTATACTATATTTGTTGTGCTATATTACAGTCTTAATATACTTTCTTTTGGTCGTAAAATGCATGCCTGAATGTCATAGTGTAGTGGAAAAGTATAACAAGCGATTTAATTATATCAACCATATTTGCAAACACTAGCATGCTTTAAAGTCCGAATGTATATCAACTTTGGATAAAACTTTTATCGCTTTAACTACCATACCCATCGGCTAGCATGGAAATGTACCAACTGGTTATGATGGAAGATCGCATGTATGCACTGTTTTTGTATTATGTATATTGATTTTTTATATTTATCTTTTTGCTTATCAAATTCAGTGTTTTCCTTTTACACTGTTGTTTATTGGGACCTAGACCAGATATAGAACTGGTCACACAACATCAAAATATACAGCTGTAACTCATCAACTTGTAAGTTTTATTATTAAGGCTTTTGTCATGAAAAAAATTATATTGTATTATCAATTTATTGTGTTATAATATTGCAGAGAATTCGTTGAAAAATCAAATATAAGTAAATTGGTTAGATAAACTTTTGTGGTTTTTAGTACATTTATAATGTATTATAAGGCAACATTCATAATACTTGAATGTACTTATCAACAAATTGTTGATACGAGTAATAAGAGTATACGAAGTACGACTAATAGTTCTCGAGATAGATTTTTTTTAAGGGACCTCTTATTTTGAATGTTACGTAAATTTGCAACTGAAAAATCTTTATTGTACGTGTTTCTGAGTACATTTTTGTAAATAACTTACTTCTGATTTGCCTGAGGTGAAAAATGTATAGAAATTATGTGGAAGCTTATAAAATTATCTTTAAAATGGGATTTTTTTAAACCTCCGATGAATAGTTTTCGAGATACAGCCTTTGGAAAATTTCGTAATGTGCTGATTTTATGAAAAAATCGGACTTTTTGTATAAACAAACATATGTAATGACGATAGAAAAATTAATATTTATATTTTTCTGTTAATTTACATATTATATATATATATGTACATGATCCTGTATCAGCAATAGTTTAAAAACTTTTTGAAAAACAGTTGCTATAAAAATGCTTGTTTTTTTTTAGCTTTTGGCATAAAAAGGCGATTTGCGGTACCTTTTTTGTAAATATCTCAATTTCTGCATACGTAAAAAATACCTTAGATAAAAATTGAAGCTTAGAAAATTTCCTACAAAATGGTAGGTTGTTAATTTATACGCGACAAACATTGACCGACATACAGACGTTTGAAAACGGGATTAGCACATATTCGGCGATGCCGCACCATTCAATCTACCACTTTCCTAAAGTATATCTCGAATATTATTTGTCTTAAAAATATGGTTCCCAGTACTAAATGAAAACAAATATATATTATGAGCTCAGAAAAGTACGTATTATTGGCCATGAAAATAAAAACACAAATTGGGAAAAAGAAATCCCGTTTTTAAACGTCTGTATGTAAATATAATATGTGTCTATATATATTATATTACACCCTGTATAATATTCAAGGAATATTGTGCTCGCTCTTTTTCCCCCTGCCTTTCTCTCTCTTTCTCACAGGGTTCGAATAAATTTTATTGCGAAAATATAACTGCGCGCCGATTACTCTCTTACAACACAATTAATCTGATAAAATAATTCTTCCACATTAAATTAGAACGTGTTGATTTCATGCTACTAGCATCTTAAAATTCGTAAAGAAGTTCTTCAGAAAAATATTGCCTCGATCTAGATTTGAACACGTATCTCTCGTATTCCATGAGGACGTCCTCCCAATTAAAAATCACCGAGGCAATATTTATGGCAATAACTAATATAATATAGAGAAATACAGATTGAAAAGCAATGTGTATAAACAATTAAGATTAGAAATATTTTATGTGAATAGATCAACTAAATATGAAAAGGAAAAAAAGGGCAGGAACGCTTATTATGAAGTTTCTATATTTAATAATTTTTTTCTAAAAGATTTAAAGTATACGTATTTATATTTATTTAAAGATTATTATACAGTGCATGCCAAAAGTTCCGGAACGGCTAATTATCTTAGAAAGTACTGGTTTATTGGAAAAATGCTAGAGAGTCCGTTAAGAGAATACATCTGAATTTGGTCTGATAAGATCTTTTTAAACCCTGCGCGCAACTTTTGTTTAAAACGTTTTTCCAACCAATACTTTTCGAGATAATGAGTCAATCCGGGACTTTTGACACGCACTGTATATGCTTTCTATAACTTTAAATTTCAGGGGCATGACAATTACATCTGGGAATATCGTAATACAGAAGGATACTAGTAATCTAATCGGTATAAGCATCGGCGGCGGTGCACCACTTTGCCCATGTCTTTATATTGTACAAATTTTCGACAATACGCCTGTTGCTGTAGATGGTACTCTTCAAGCAGGAGACGAACTTGTGGCAGTGAATGGAGCATCAGTTAAGGGTAAAACTAAAGTGGAAGTTGCAAAAATGATACAATCTTGCGACTCGCAAGTCAGTATTAATTACAACAAGTTACATGCTGATCCAAAACAAGGTCGTACACTCGACATTGCTTTGAAAAAGGTATAAGTTATTTCCTCTAATTTGAGCGTTTAAAATGTCTGTTGTTTTTAATGATACAATAAAATATTAAAAGTGATATGATTAAATATTTTTTATAATATTTATATTTTTTCTTATAATATTATTTATTAATATTTTATAATATTATAATTAATTATAAAATTTATAATTGTAATTTATAAATTATATATCAGACATATAATTATATTTTATAACAACTTTTAATCTGCTGAAATTATATAACAATTAAATTTTCAAATTTATAGGTAAAGCATAGATTAGTTGAAGGAATGGGTAGCACTACGGCTGACGCACTTGGATTATCTCGAGCTATCCTTTGTAATGATGCCCTTGTCCAAAGATTGATGATGTTGAAGCGCACAGAAAATTTCTATAGAGGTCTCGTAACGCATGCTAAAACTACATTACATGCCTTTTTTGATCTGATACAAATTTATAAAGGTATAAGAGTGTTACGAATAAGTATTGTGTATCAGAAAGCTGCACTAAATTATTACACAATATTTACTCATTCAATTGTTCTTTTCAGTATTCGGGGATGCTTTTGCTGCTATAGGAGTTCGAGAACCACAGCCACGTGCCAGTGAAGCTTTTAGGCAATTTGGAGAGCAGCATAGGCAAATGGAAAAATTTGGAATGATAATGTTAAAAACTCTAAAACCAATACTGAATGACTTGGGAACATATCTTAACAAGGCTATACCAGATACACGGTTAACCATTAGCAAGTACGCCGATGCAAAATTTGAATATTTATCTTACTGTTTAAAGGTGAAAGAATTAGATGACGAAGAGCAAAGCTGCGTCGCTCTGCAAGAACCTCTTTATCGCGTGGAAACAGGCAATTACGAATATCGGCTGATATTAAGATGTCGACAAGAAGCTCGCGCGAGATTCGCAAAGCTTCGTTCAGACGTACTAGTAAAGCTTGAACTGTTGGACAATAAGCACGTTCAGGATGTTGTGTGGCAGTTGCACAAGTTTGCAGCAGGTTTGGCCAAGTATTATGCCAATGCACGGGATTTATTGTCGACAGTAACATTATTCCCGGTTGAAGTCGATTTGTCACATTCCGCATTTCAGTACAAATCTACCGGGCCTCAAATTTTAACGGATTTAAGTGAAGACATCGAAGAGTACGAATCGGAAGAAAAACAGAACATAAATGAAGAGCTTCTCATTGATACAAATTTCTCATTGAATTTAACTGATAATACATAGCGATACTTCTGGAGTTTCTAAAGAATTTCAAGATGAATATAATTTTTTGTCACCACATACTTATATATGAGAACATTGTAATTTAATTTCTGCTTTCCATACAACTGTGATTATAGAATTAAAATAAGTCTTGCGTTATATGTACAGAGCATCTGATAATTACTGAAAGCACTCTTGTACAGAGTGGAATAAATAAACTAAATAAGTAGACCAAATAACTCAGTAGAATAGTCTTGTATTACATGTTTTTTAATCAAAGGGATATTAGCGTGACATTTAAACGCCAGGGCATCATCTTTCTAATCGGGCATGATTTGTGCTCATACATTTGTGGTCTTTTTTTTATTCTTGCACTAAACTGCACTAGAACTCTCTCTTTTACTTTTACCAAATAACAAACATACATCTATTTTATTACAAAAGTATATATAAATACTAGTTCAGCTATAAAAACGGACGATTTACCAAAGTTAAAAATAACGTTACTTGTAACGTTGTTATCGTTTTTGTTACTTTATTTGATGAAACTTGTTACTTTTTTGTAATATTAACAATCATTAAATATTTTTATAATAATGGTACAACTCAGTCGTTACTCTTATACACATTATTTTTAATTAAAGATATTTTATATAAAAAGTTTAAATATTGAAAAATATATTTTGTATTTCATGTATTAGGTTGTATTCCAATAATTACTAACGATACTGAAAATCTAATATAAGTATCTTTTTTCATATTTAACTCATTCCAAGTAATGAATTACTTTATTCCAATAAATATGTGATGATGACAAATTAATCTTCGAAAATTATCTTTCTCCATCTTTAAAGTTAGTTATTGTCATAAAAATTTGCAATATAAATTACCAAATCGTTATTAGAAAAAAACGGTAAAATAATAATGTTATTTTTAGCCCTGCTTTCATATAATTATGTATATATTTAAGAGAAATATACCAAAACATTGTTTGTTTCTTTAACAAATTTATCTGCAGTAAACATTTTGTTCTGCTTGTAATTAAGTAAATTTCTGTAAACAAATTGACTAGCCCATGGCACATAGAAAAACGTAAGGCCGTAAACGTAATCAGTAAGCGAATTGACCAATCACAGTTGAGAACGCAAGCGGCGGCCGCTACGTTCTCAACTGTGATTGGTCAATTCGCTTACTGATTACGTTTACGGCCTTACGTTTTTCTATGTGCCATGGGCTTAAGCCATAAGGAATGGACGAATCATAGTCGATTATTCTCCTCGAATTCAACCGTAATTGGTTCTTACGGCTTAAGACATTGTATTGTAGATCCGGAATGAGACCATAACCTGAATAAACATCTGTCATTGTCGTCGTCGACGTCACCTTATCACTGCTTATCACATCCATGACACGCGTACGGCGTACGATACATACATCATTGTTCCGCAATCTTTGACTGTAACTGAAGATTAATCGTAGCGTGATATTATAAGCACGAAAACGGCATTGTAGAGATTACGTAAAATGTCAGATGTGAGAGACTGGTTCAATTCTCTACCTATATTTACGAGATATTGGTTGTTGTGTACCGCAGTTCTGACATTACTCGGCAGATTTGGCCTTCTGAGCCCGCATTCATTGGTGTTGTGGCCCGACCGATTTTTGAATAATTTTGAAATCTGGCGAGCGGTGACAAGTGTCTTTTACTATCCTCTCAGTCAAAGGACCGGCTTCCATTTCCTGATCAATTGCTACTTCTTGTACAATTACTCATTAAGGTTAGAGCGCGGAGAATATGATGGAAAGCCCGCGGATTATTGCTTTCTTCTCTTATTTAATTGGATATGCTGCGTTATCATTGGACTTATCGGCGATTTCTCCCTGCTCATGGATCCCATGGTGCTCAGTGTGTTATACGTATGGTGTCAGCTAAATAAAGATGCTATTGTAAACTTCTGGTTTGGTATGCTCTATTCCTTTTATGTCATATTTTATTTATATATTATACATAGGATAGAGTGGAGCTTTTTATTTATTTCTCGCGATAATGTTTGTTTCTGAGCAGTACATATTCATTATTTAAAGGTTGCTCTTGTGTTCTTAAGAAGCAATTATAATTGTATAAAGTAATTATAAACGTGTCATTGCAAAAAGATATTGTTCGCTATTGTAAATTTTCTTATTTAAAGTTGAAACTGATGGAATAGCTCATCCTATCCTAATGATTATATCGTTATATTGTGATGATACTAACATTATGTTGGTTTATATGAAACAAATCTATTGTCAGGTACACAATTCAAAGCCATGTATCTGCCATGGGTTCTATTTGGATTTAATCTGATTATTTCTGGTGGCGGAATGATGGAATTGTTTGGGATTCTAGTAGGACATCTGTATATCTTCTTGAAATTCAAATATCCCCAGGAACTTGGTGGTCCAGAATTACTCAACACTCCCAGGTTACTTGAAAGTTATTTTCCACCTCAAAGAAGTGGAATTCGATCGTTTGGAAATGTACCTGCACCTAGACCTACAAGGGAACAGAATCAAGGAAGAAATACATTTGGAGGACATAACTGGGGCAGAGGTCACGTATTGGGTCAATAATTAAAAGAAGGAACTTATAATTCAATAAAATTTTTTTGTTTTTTTATTGTATTTGTTTTATTGTTACAAAAAAAATTAGTATTATAGAATCAGTCCTTATTTCTATATTATCAATTCTTTCAAATATCTTTTTGTAAACTTTTATTTCATTTTCATAATTATCATAACTTTAAGATGTGCATTTTGATGCAATTTAATAACAAATATGTATATTATAAATTTATAAAACTAAACAAAAATCCTCTTACATCTTATGTAATAATTTTGCATTATGTAAATACATTGTTGATTCTTTCACACACAAACACACACGCGCGCGACAAAATATTGATTCTGAAATATGTAGGCTGCTGGAAATTTCTGCAATCTAGTACTTCCAATGGTGCCAACGTTTTACTACTATCATATCCGTAAAATTAGATTGTGCTGATTGATATACAACAATTTGCCAGAAGTCATCAATAAATTGCGTAGAACAAATCGAAATCGTCATCATGACAACGCCAACTTTCACGCAGCATTTATAACAATAGAGCCGAATTTTACATGCCTTTTCATATTGTTTGCATAAACTTTTCCAGCAGCCTACATATAAGATTAAGGGTAATATAAAAATAATTATAATTTGATATTTTCATCTATACACCTGGATGCGCCTTTTCCATTAGCTTTAGAAAGAAACAGTAAATGCATTATGTCTATCTTTTGTTGTACTAAATATGTAACACGTTCGAAATGAAAAAAGATCAATTTTAATTATATTATGCAGACATTTTTTAATATATATATATATATAGTGTTATAATTAATCTAGCAAAAATGATGGTGATGATATGTTGTATATTGGCAGAATAGTAATATTTCCTTTCATACATAGGAACAATATTTAATATAATAAAATATAATTGAAGTTTATACATATTTATATTATTATAGCCAAATTTGCTCAATACACTCTTGTTCTGTCAACTCAGTCCCCTGAATATAATCACAGGATATATTCATAAGATTTATGAATTTTTTACAGACCTCTTATTTAATAATTCACCGCTAATTATATTCTTGATGAAATACATTTAGCAGTAAGTTTGTAAATATTTTCTGCACATTTTTATATTTAATAGTAAAGGAGAAGTGTAGAATTAAAGGAAAAAGTATGTAATTCTATTGATGAATGTTTTAACCACAAATGTTAAAAATTTCCATATTTATATCATTATATTGTATAAATCTCAATAATAAGATATTCTGAAAGAATCAATCAATTTTTTAATATCTTGTTTGACGCGTAAAGAATTATTTATAAATCACATTTATTCTAAAGCAGAATTTCGATGCTCAATTTACTAACTGTTTATATGTAATATATGCGTCGAGACACACTACCGCGTCCTCTGATATCATGCGTACTTATAAAATTGAACAAAATAATAAGTATGTGATTAATGAAATAAAAAAATTACAACACATACAACTCCGTTTTAAATGTTTTTATTTTTCGGCACCTTACAAAATCTGTAAAAACATAAAATACAAGATACTTAGTAAAATTATTTCCACATTGTTGAAAAAGATTACTAAAATATTTTTTATTGAGGTTGTTTTCCTCAATGGCTAAATGCCTGCTAAACACACAAGCCATCATTAGATGAACTCGATGTTAAACAGGTGGATGGGATGCCAACCCCTACCAAGAGCCCAAAATCAACACTTTTCATTGTGATTATTATACACGTGTTTGGAATTAAAATGATTAAAACTTCAGAAGTACGTAATAAGCACGTAATATTACAGATAATATTATGTATGTAGTCAAATTTTGTTGTCCACAATGAAAAGATTGAACTAAGAGCTCAATACCTACCAACAATTATTCTTCTGGGACTTCCAGTTCCCCTCCATTAATGTCGTCTATAAGGTCATGAGGTGGTCTACCTTCCACAGTACATCCCACTGACTGACACGTACCTAAGATTTCTTTAACTGTACCACCAAGTGTTCTCGACATTGATCTCGATCTCATTGCACGAGCAATAGAAACAATATCATCAAACGTTAGATTACCACTATGCTTGATATTTTTTTGTCTCTTACGATCTCTGGGTGGCTCTTTCAGAGCTTTAATTATCAAAGAAGCAGCAGATGGTACAACCGAGATTGTGGCTTGTCTATTCTGAATAGTCAATTGAACAGTGATTTTCAAACCTTTCCAATCACTGGTAGCCTTAGCAATGTCATCTCCAACTTTTTTAGGCGACTAAAATATGAATATTATTATCAGTACATGATATATACAGGGTGTTTCAGATTCTTTTAGAAATAAAAATAAAATTATACATTTTAATTGAAACATATCTTATAATACTTGGTCTATAAAGCATACAAATTTTAAATCTAAATTTATTTTTATGATAACATTATTATTTATTTAATATAATATACAAAAATCACATTATTAAATAACAGAGTTGAGTATCATAGACATACAAATAAATTATTACATCTTTTCATAAAAATAGAAGAAAATACACAAGTTTAAAAAAAAAAATATATATATATATATACAAATTACATTCTTTTTAATCAAAACTTACCAAACCAAGAGGACCAATTTTAGGAGCAAGGGACGAAGTAGCTCCTACTTCACCACCAACGCATCGCAGGAATACTAGTATGAAACAAAAGTAATTTAGCAATTTTCTTTTTCCAAGGTTATGAAATTAAAAAATTTTTCATCTCTGTACTATACAAAAAATATAAATAAAATACCTTTCTTTATTTCATTTGGATCAAATTTGGGAGGCATTTTGGTAATTTCTTTTGAAGATTTTGTAAAAAAAATGCAGATAAAACCGTATTACGACAAAACCACGATACTAAACTCCACGTTCTACAACGGAAAAGAGAAATGGAGACAAAACATAAAGCATCACCACAGTATACACACAACTCTCATGAATTTCACCGTGTATATAAACGAACTGCACATGCGCAAACGAAGTGTGTAACCAATCAGGGCACCAATATTTTATTTCACTTCTTTCCATTGTCCAATAACGGCTTATTAATTCTACCATGTTTGTTTCGTCACGTGATATCCGGAAAAAGTGGTAAAATAAAATTCGCTCTTTCGTTTCCGTTGGAGTCGCGGATTTGGGTGTTTGTTCTCTCTTGTAGAGCTAAGGTCTTATTGACGACTTACACCAATTTTAAGCGCCATCCGTTTTTCATTAATTAAATCTAAACAGAGAAAATGACGACCGAGGCCGAGCTCGCCTGCGTTTATTCTGCGTTGATACTCGTTGACGATGATATCGCTGTAACTGTAAGTATAAAGTATATCGTCACGCTATATCACCTATACATTTTTGTATTTCTGTACGTTTTACCGGTATGTTCCATTCTTGATGTATTCCATTAGCATTTTTTCATATTTGTTTATTAATTTATTTTATCATCTGTATTATGTCTTGTTTTAATAAGGTTTCCAATTTATCGTGTCTATTTAGGTTAATTCTACAATGTGCTTTTTGTTTCCTGTTTCTTGCTGTTTATCTCTGTCTCTTGATTTTTCGATTAAGAAGGCAAGAGACAAACAACAAGAAACAGGAAACACATTGTAGAATTAGCCTAAGAGTCTGCTGGATTGATCACACACGTGTTCGTTTATATTAAAAATATCAGTAAAGTTAAAGCTCAAGACAGCGTAAGTTTTGGACGCTTATAATTCTATTTTTATCGTTTATTAGACATAAAAGAAAGAAACGCTGAAAACGTCAAAATCAAATGCAATTTAAATTTAATCTCAAATTTTATGAAATCTGGAAGTTGATTTACTATATTTAGCTTGAGTTACAATATTTTAATTTTACAGGGCGAGAAAATACAAACAATTTTAAAAGCAGCTAATGTAAATGTTGAATCTTATTGGCCTGGACTTTTTGCTAAAGCTTTAGAAGGCATAAATGTTAAGGAATTGATAACCAACATCGGATCTGGCATCGGAGCTGCACCTGTAGGAGCAGGTAATATATGTACTTTTATATTGGCAAACTATTTATAAGTATTAATTGTAATACAATTATGTTTATTTTATATTATTTTTTATAAGATACAGCAAGATTAAGTAAATATATAGATATGCTTTCAAATATCGTTTTATTTGTTGATGTAAGTTCTGTTTACAATTTTTAAAATCAGATTCAGAAATAATAAGTTGCAAACTCTTTTTTAATCAATACAAATAAAAATATTTATATGACTTTCCGCAGTTAGTATGGAAGTTATATATTCATAAAGCAAATAAATACGATTTCCAAGCAGTTAAGATGTATTTGATAGACAAATTTATATGTGTAACACGCATATATTTTGACTGTGAATTTAAGTTTTTTTCAATGCAATAACTTTTTTAGCTTGTTTTATTTCCATCAATCTTCGACAATGAATTTTGATCGAATTTTGATCTATTGTCGCAAGATCATACATGAATTCCTGAGCTACCTATTGCTTGATATCATAAGAATTACAGAAATTTAAATTGCTATTAATAAAGAAAACATTGAAATAAAAAATATGTAAAATTATATCCTGATATTAACAAATGTTTAACTGCATATATATATATTTAAAATAGATTGAAAGAATTTTATGATTAAATAAGCAATATGGAAAAACTTGCAAATGTTTATTTTATCCTCTTCATCCACTGATCTAGTTTTAAATTACTAGCTCGGTTAGCAAAAGAGGTCAAAAAAAACTGCTGACAAACTTTCTGATTTTATCAATAAAGATATAATCTTGAAAGTTTTGTTAACAACATGAAAAATATAGAAAAATTGTAATGTTCATTAGAATATCGTTTATAATATGACGTAATATAAATTTTTATTTTTTTAAATAATTTATTCAGGCAAATATAATCTTTTTAATTATTATATTAATTATTACTTTTCTATGAAAAATATTTTTATTTTGCTGTTTTAAAGCTCCAACTGCAGCGGCGCCCGTTAGCACTGAAGCTGCTCCAGCTAAAGAAGAAAAGAAAAAGGAAGAACCAGAAGAAGAATCAGATGATGATATGGGTTTTGGTAATTTATCAAATTTACATCAATTTTATATTAATTAAATCTCAAAAAGTAATTGAATATAGAGTTGGTTGAAAAAATCCAGTAGATGGTAAAAACCATAATTAATTCTAAAACTTATTATCCCAGACTTTATCCAATAGAATAAACTGGCAAAAACTTTTATTATAACTAATATGTAATAAATAATAGGATGTATTATTTATTACGGATATCTGGAATTATCTGTATAAATTATGGTTTTTACCACTGGCATAAATTTAAAAAAATATAATTTTGCTAATCTTGAAAGAAAATTATAACAAATATTCAGTGATTAATACAGCATGTATTAGCTACAGAGTATACATGATGACAATATTTGAAAAAATGAGAATACAATAAAAATTATCTTATTCGATGGATATAACTATTTCTGTTCTAATCGCAATATGATTCAATTACAGGTCTATTTGATTAGGATCAGGGATTGCGGTCCATTCCTTTTATGTACAATGGCATTGTACACATATAAATAATATAAATAATGAAACATTTTGATAAAAAGAAAATGTCTACTTTTTTCAACCAAAGAAAACCAATCACAAGTAAGAGTCAATTCTAGTTTTCTTTCTTTTATTTATGTATACATAATGTATGAAACATGCATAAAACATATTGATGTTCTCTATATAGGATAAAAATATATTTCGTGATTCTGTTCTCTTTATGTTTGTACGCACGCGTGTGTGTACACATGTACTCACATATTCAATCTTAATCAGACAAGTATTTTAAAAATATGCAATTTTACAAAAAAAAATTTTTTTAATTGAAGTTGTAAGGTAGAAGGATGTAATTGCGTTTCTCTGTACCACACAACTTTAATTTGGAATTAAATCGAAAACGAACAGGCTCAAAAAGATGAATAAATCAAAATAATAAAATAGTTATAAATCGGCGCAAGTTTGATGCTGTTATCTTAAAACAATTCACATCATATAGTAAACAACATACATTTCGATCTTAGATCCTTCTCAATGTTAAACAGATAACAGTTTAAATCGGAATATAGCCCTCATTTTATTATTTTGATTTATTAATTAGAAATCATAATAATTAATTAAGTAAAATATTTATGGCTATACAGAGTTAAACATTGTTTTTGGTGTACAAATTATGTACAAATATATCTTTGCTACAAAAAATTCGAACGTTTCGGTCCTATTATTTGGACCATCATCAGCAACAATATAAAATGTGCAATAATGCTACCTAATGTTGGAGAGAACGATGTTGAAACGTAGTAATATTAATATATATTATTTTCTCATGTACCAACAGAGGTAATTTATACCGTAAACTATTAGAATATATTTAAAAAACGAACCTTTATTATAACGCATCTCTTTCAGTCGGCATATTCTTCATAAATGAATAACAATAATCAAAATTAAATTAAAGACTCTTAATGATTAAAACAAAATCACAATAATTAATTAAGTAAGATATTAATGGCTATACAGAGTCAAACGCTGTTTTCGGTGCACAAATTATGTACAAATATATTTTTTTTGATACAAAAAATTCGAACGTTTCGGACGTATTATTAGTTATTAATTTAATGTTTTTTAATTTGGTTAATTTGGAATGTTTTTTTGACGTGTTATCACTTTTATTTGGAATGTTCCTCAATTGCATATTTTCGAAATATTTTTCGTTTATAATACAGTGTAACAAAGCAACTGTATCAGACTAATTTAACAAAAAGTGTGCATTTTCTTGAAAAATGTTCGAGACAAAAATTGTAGGGTTTTAAATAATGCATTAGATAATGATATCAGTGTGATCTTGGATAGTGTTGATGAGGTAACGGAAAAATTGCTTTGAAGTATTACTTTGAATGAATTTAAACGGAAAACCTTATTTTTATTATATTTTTTTTAGCTGATGTCGAAAGCTTTTCGAAGATAGATTTCTTTTTAAAAGTTTTAAAATGATTCTTACATACACATTACATTAATAATATAATTCAAGATTATACTAACATTGCTATTTATTGTAATACTTAAAACCCTACAACTTTTATTTGAAATATTTTTTTCAAGAAGAAATTCAATTTTCCATAAAACCAGATTGGTACGGTCACTCTGTTATATCTTGTATATATCAGAATTTTATTTTTTATACCACTTATATTCAATAGAGTAATTCTTTAATTCTAACTATTACATTTTATCCATGGTTTGATCAATAATAAGTGTTAATAAATTCAACTAATGTAATGAAATACGGGCAATGAGCCAATTTTCATTAAAATCTTTAAATCAATCTAATATATTTAATAAATTCAGTTAATCTCTTGCGTAGCATTTAATACAACTATTCCGTCGTTAAAAGAACCTGCTTTTGTCAACGGATTTATTTTTAATAGACCATCTTATTTAACAATAACTATGTGTGTCGCTACAAAATTTAGATGATTATGAAGGGCATCTAAAAAATAGCAAATTCGATTGGACGTACTAGTACACGCTAGTGCATATTAAAGTTGTTCACTGATTTAATCTGTGTAAAAGTAAAATGCAAATATTTTGAATTATAAAATACAAATTTTACTTAACAACACAATAAAATCTATTGAAGATTTCATGGTTAATCCGTTTTATTTATATGTATTAATACACATTTTTACAATTTGTATGACTGTTCATAATACATTAGTGCGCACTGAGTGTATTCAACTGAATTTACTACAAGTTTTTTTTTATCATAGGAAAAAAAAACCGGTTATGCAAGTATTTTATATATATTGTTTTTTTCGAATATGTTCGATAACATTTTTGTATTCAGAAATGTTGTCTTCATTGCAACCATTGTTAACTGAGCAAATTTAAATCATGGAAGCGTCAATACAAGACGTGTCCGATTGTGAATTACCTGCTGTAATTTTGTTTTTGACCGTATATATGGAACGAAAGATTTTGATTGTTTTTCATGAAATTATTTCTTCACAACAGACAATTGAAATTAAAGTAGAACCGAAAGATTTTGAGAATATAAGACGTGGTTCTTCTCATATAATCAGCAAATACTAATTTATAAGTTTATTCTTTATTCTAATTTCGAAGAAAATCCAATACTTGTTACATTTAAGAGAAATTTTTTCTCACTCAGGATCATGGCCTTGACACATGTATGTCAAGATCAAGGTCACTGGAGCTGAGTTCCCTTTTGTCAATATTTATCATTAATAAAGTCCTAAACCAAAATCTACAAATTAAAAATTTATCTATTCCGATTAAAACATTTTTTTAATCCGGATATTGTATTTAAAAAACTGATAAAGGCAACATTACGTTAGCCTTAGATAATAATAAATACAGGTCAAAAAATTATGCAATTTTTTATTAAAAATTGTTAAAAGTGCATAAAGATAGATAATTGTATTATTACATAGATATGCATATTTATAAGCTTGCTGTAGACCTTAATTAAAAAAATAACTTAAAAGTGAGAATATACTATTAATTTTATGATAAAGCTTTTTTTTTTACTTATTAATTATATGGCATATATTATTTTTAAAAAATATATATTTGAAAAAAGTTCATTTAAAAAATTATTTTATTTTTTATTTAATTTAACAAAATAATTTGTGCTTAACTTACTAACAAAAAGATATCAAGGTTTTTACCTCTTTGTTCAAAACAATATAGCAATTATTTTGAAACAATCTCATTGTAAAAAAAGTTACCTAATCAGAAATGATTGATAGGTTGACGTTGAATCAACATCGATTCGATATTATTCGATTAATAATTTCTGATTGGGAAATCAAGTAATTACTTTTTCTTTAGAGTTAAATCAAAAGAAAAATAAAAAGAGAAACAATTTTACGTAAAAAAAATATAAATATTGCACTTTTAATTCCAGATCTTTTCATGATTAATTTTTTTTAAACCGAATCATAATTTTTTAAAAATTTTATGTTTATATATATATATATATCCTTTCTTATAATATTAGATTAGTAACTAACAAGTAAATCTTACGGAGGTATCACTCATCGATTTTAATGAAACTTTGTAAATTTGTAGAACTAGGAAAAATATTTGACACGTATTTTTTTTTATCGGCAAAGGTTTATTCTGAAGGGTGAAAAATAGCCTTTAAAGGTAAGGGATAGATTTAACATATTAGGTAAAATAAATTGAAAATTAAAAAAAAAATAAAATGTGTTAGAGGGTTTTTGGGGTTGCTGAAATTAAATCTTATATCATAAGTTATGCGTCAGTGAAAAGGGAAAACGCTTGTGTGTCCGCCGCGTCTCATGATTACACGTGGAGAAAATTTTTGAATTTCATATTTTTGACATAAGATTCAGTTTCAGTGATCCCAAAAACTCCCTAACACATTTTACTTTTTAAAATTTACAATGTTTTTAACTTCATATTATATGAAATAAATATCCGGACGCCGTATTGGGTCAGCCACTTTGAATTTCATACTTTTGACATAAGATTTAGTTTCAGCGACTTCAAAAACACTCCTTTAACACATTTTACTTTTTAAAATTTTCAACTTATTTCATATGTTATTCCTAATATTTTAAATCTACCCTTTACCTTTAAGGGATAGTTTTCACTCTTCAGAGTGGATCTTCGCCGGTAAAAAAAATGTGTCAAATATTTTTCATAGTTCTACAAATTTGCAAAGTTTCATTAAAATCGGTGACACTTTCGTAGGTTTACTTGTAAGATCCTTTCCCGATTCATCTTGCTACGATTTTGAGAATGCCAATATGAAATTGAGGTTATTACTTTGTTTTCTTCAAAACAACATTTTTTTTAAAACAGTTTTTGCTAAGATATTGTAAGAGATAAGATATTTTAACTATCTCTTATAGGGTGTCAATTAATTTTCGTGACAACGCTTATGTGTAGATAGAGCAGACTGACAATAAATTGTAAAGTCCTGTATGGTTTTACAATTTTCGCACAATACTTAACAAAATATTAATTTCTAGAGATTAGTATTATGCGAAAATTGCAAAATGGTACAGAGCTTTTTAAATCATCAATATCCTTATTCTTTTCAAATCAGTTTAATCCGTTCTACTTGTATACAAGCGCTGTATCAAAAAATTTAGGACACCATGTATATACGATGGTAGTTTGAAAAATTTTGAGCCTCGACATGAAGATGGCATTACTCGTTAAAATTATACTGGTACTACAATCGTACATGCTTTGAAAGATGCTTGTGAAAATTGTAGACATTTGTCATTTTCATTTAAGTGAAAAATGAGGTATATACATATATAAGCTAACCGCGCATCGCGCTTGCTGTAGACCAAAAACGCATTTCAATGAACATTTCCAAGGCTCTGTTGGAGCGGTTTTAGCGAAACGAGTTGGATTTTTGCGTTTTTGTATTAATAATTGTTAATGAAATTTGGATCCACTACATCACTCCTGAGACGAAGAAACAGTCAAAACAATGGATGGCAAAGGATTGAACAACAATGGATTGAACTTGCTCCGAAGAACGATTTCATTCGGGAAAGTGATGGCGATTGTTTTTTTAGGATAGTCATGGAATTGTTTATCGATTTTCTTGAAAAAGGTGAAACAATAACGGCGATTTATTACGCAACATTACTTAATAAGCTGAAGGCAGAAATTGCGAAAAAACGGCCGCATTTGAAGAAGAAAAAATGCTGTTTCATCAAGATAACGCACAATCTCACACATCGACAATCACCATGGCAAAAATTCACGAATTACGGTTCGAATGATTGATCACCCACCGTATTCAACAGATCTGGTCCCCAGCGACTTTTTTCTGTTTCCTAGGCTCAAAGTTTGGTTCAGAAGACAAACATTTTCATTGAGCAGGTTATTGCATCCATAAAAGACTATTTTGCAGAGCAAAATGCCAACTATTATTTGAATGAGTTAAAGAGATGGGAGCATCGCTGGGAAAAGTGTATCGACTTAAATGGAGACTATGTTGAAAAATAAAACTGAACTTGACCGAAAAAATACTTGATTCTATGTTAGGCTTAAACTTTTCAAACGACCCCTTGTATATATACACACACAGATTCCAATAGCAATTTCTTTTTAATTTTTTAATTCCTGTTATCATTTTGTTGTACTTCTGGTTCTGACAATGGCAACCATTGTGCTGAAGCACCTTTCCCGGATAACACACGTTGAAATAACTCTCTTTGGCACGAGCCTGATACTTCGCACTTCCCTAAGAGATTACCATTCGCTCGTAGTACAGAAAATTGTAAGATACATTCCGGTAATATGTCACTATTAGTATCAAAGGTAAGAATGTCGTTCCAGACGGGACTTGTAGCCTCATGTTGTATACTCGATTTTTTCTTCTTAAGATTTTTACCGTCTTGTATAAGTGATACCTAAACAATTTTCATCTTAAGTAAGAAAATTTAAGGGCAGATATCATACATACATACCTTCACATACGAATTAGCATTCGTGGGGTCATCGAGAACGGGTAAATTTCTTGCCCTGACAATAATAACTGTCAGTTTCTCTATAGACATCTGATATGAAATGGAGACCATTAATTCACCCAGTGGCGGCACTCTAAATCCGCCCTCTGTTCCATATCGTAAAATTGGTTGTACGATAGTGACTAAGTTTGTACCGAGATCCGGCACGGAAGAAAGAGGAAGTTGTACATAGCCTAAACCACGATGTCTTGTAAACGCATCAAAGTCATAGAGCAAAACTTCTAATGTTCTTTCAGCCAATGATGTTACAGGCGTTACTTCAAAAATGAAATCTTCGTCGAATACTAGAAAAAGAAATTAGATATAAAATATTTTGCTTTAAAGAGAGTTGAGTCATTTTGCGATAATCCTTTAAGAAAGAAATTCACCAGGATTCAAAGTACGCCTGTGTATTGTAGTTTGCCACACATTATTACGATCAGGTAACAAACGTAATTTGGCATAAGGATCTGCAATGCCGCTCAATTCTCGAGCACGAAGATCATGTGCCTTTATAAAACAAAAAAAGTAATTATTTCAATCTATATATTCAACGGTAATATTTAATGTGCTTGAGAAGTAAGTATAGAATATGTGAAAAATTATATAAATAATACCTCAATAAGTTTCACAGTAAGTATTCCAGCGTTAGTATCGTATATCAATCCTAATTTTAATTCACCTCTAATTTCGTCGGACGAAGAAGTTGAAGAGGAAGATGACAACTGTAGTATAAAATTATAATTAGATACAAATAAATTGAAAAATAAAGGACTCTTTATATATAAAGATAATCAACAATAATAAAATAAAATAAAACGAAATAAGATTTTTTATTATTATTGTGTGATTATAATTAGGTACTTGTAGTAATACAATTATTGGTTAATGAAAAATTCAACGAAAATATAAACCTTGTGTTGTGAAGCTGACTCGATCTCGATACTATTCAATCTGGAGTGAGATCCATCCATACTCCGCGGCGGTCTGACGATTATCATGCGTTTCTCAGATGCTATCAATGTGCCATCCGGAATAGGTGGTGCAAGCGGACTCATTGGAGATGGAGAAATATCATCTGATTCCGAAAGATGCTGTATAACTGTGAAAGAAACTTTTATTTTTCCGAAAAACCATTTTATATTTTGGATTTTAAATACATTTTTAATGTATTTTACACTGATATTTTAAATGGAATTTGAAAAGCATTTTATCTAGTCCTGGCTAGAATTCGTCTAGTAAGAATTAGAACACCTGTCTCGTGCGCATGCGCGTCTATCGTTAATGGAGAACATAAGTATGAGATAAAATGAAAAAACAAGTTATAATAAACTATTTTATACTGTCTTACTTATCGCTTTCGTTTCCGCGAATATAGTGGAACCAATCAAAAATCATCACTTGGTGGCTTTACTCTTACTATAATAATTCTAGAACAGGCTAATTAATTCTTACGTCTCTTAGGTCGGAATCAGACTATGTATTGAAGATTGAGAGATTGAAATTTGAGTTGATTTGTCAAATCAACAGGTGCTAAAATTCCTTTATCCTCATTGGTCAAATTTCAATCTTCAATGCATAGTCTGATTCCGACCTTACGGTATGTCTTAGCCCAATATTTCATATGTTGTACAGCTTTTGAAGCTTCTTGATTGGCTGTAGGACAGAGAAGTCCTCGGATCTCATTGTCCTACAACTAATCATAATTTGCCTACTTTTAAATTTGCGACATCCCTTTCTATAACTCTAGCAATATAATTTGTAAAATGTATTGTATATCTACCTCTTCTGGGAGAATCACTGGCAATACTATCGAATACGTGATCAGATTGCCATTCATCATCATCTGAATGACTATCATTACGTTTGATAATTTTATTATCTCGTGAAAGCGCGACACCAGCTAAAACATTCTTTGATGATTTAGCTGCTTCTTCAGCTCTATCTAACAAATCTTTTTCAAACCTAAAAAAAATTTACTATTTATTTATTTTTCGAGATATTTGCCTAAGGCAGTTAAAATGGGATACCTTGTGATATTCTACCAGAAAGAAAAATACAAAGATACGTGCCAGTTGAGTGGTCCTCCAACCGAAGTAAGTAATCGACGACGACGCGCACAAATAGTATAAACGATCACTGCAGAAATTGCCCCGGTAGCGGCTCCAACTGTGCTTAGAACTGCAACCACTCCAGCACCGTGAACATCCATTTTAATTATGAACCTAAATTTATAAGACATTACAATCAAATTTAATTTTTCATGAGAAGTGATCTATGATATCATAATAGTTGCATGTAGATATATGATACTATTAAATAATCTAATTTGTTTACAAAATGCTCCACAAACTTCTAAAATGTGTTTGCTATATAGATCATTTTAAGCAAAATCGTTCATATACACTATTAATCAATTTGGTACAATTTGAGATGAAGAATTTAATTATTGTTAGTAATGCAAAGGACCCCGCATAAATCTCATGGAAATTGAATTTTGATCGAACTGACTGAAAATTTGATATGTTATAAATCTTATCATCCTGATAAAAAGTCTCCACAAGAACGATTCCCTGTAATGAATCGTTTGACTCCTATGGGTTATGTGCCCAATTTTTTCACTCTTCTAAATAAATTTCGGATAATTTTATCCAGGAGATATCTCCATTGTATATCTGGGAGGTATCTCCTGTTAAATTATCTAGAGGTGAAGAAATTGATATTATATACATCTTATTTTCAACAAGTATGGTGCATTCCTATGTCATTATTTGCACTTTTTATGTTTATTTTTAAGTAAAAATCTGGCGTATGTTGTAAAAATCTTGGCGTATGTTTTTTTTTTGTTTTTTTTTTTTAACAATTTGACTATAATTATTTTTTTTATGACTATAATTATTAAAACCAACAATTCCAGTGATTCAAAGGGAGTGAAAGTACAGCGTTGTTGGTACACAAGTAATAAGAAGTAAATTTCCTTACTAATTTATTCCATTGAAATAACAAATTTAGAATGTTTCGACTCATTTTGGAGTTCTCAGCTAATACAAATTTAATATTCCTTCTTTGTATTTATTATTCGAGTCACATCAGATTTGATGTTGAAACCTCTCTACCGTAAATTTGATATAAGAATCGTATATGAAGGGTTCAGATTCGTATATGAAAGACATACGATAAAATGTTAATTGCATGATCGTATACGATTCGTATAAGATTCGCATATGCTATTCACATCTTATACAAATCGAATCCCATTTACGTATACCATGACATATGATTTTGTCTTATGCGACTTTCACGATAGGGCTTACATAATAACTTTACATAAAAACCTTACAAAGAAGATGTCTTGAAACATTGGATCGATTAATTTACTAAGAATAATAATGAGTAGATTACATCGCAGATTATATTATTTTGGTCACTTTTATTAAGTGTAACGTGCTTATACTTGAATTTTTCTAATTTTTAATATAACCTCTACAATTATTAAGAGGCAGAATAATTATAACTGAATCACACTTAACAGATGGTGTAGATAAGTGCGGGATTTGTAAAAAAGAAAATCGTCTGTAATCCATGCCATTATATTTGTACTAAAGTGAATTTTTTTAAAATATAAACAGCATAAATATGCGCTTTTCTAAAAAATTAAATAGGTGTATGTATATCATTGATTGAACATATGGTAAAACATGTTGAATACACTCACCCTTATCATCCGCTCGGCATTACGTATTATACTTTAGCCAAAACACGAGCGTGAGTAGCGAATTAATCCCGAAAGAATGAGTGTCACAATATCAGAGAATATCAGATCAACAAACAATTTGTCAATGCATATTAAAATAACGTCTCTCTCACCGCTTATGATTCATCACAGTATATGTGCATTGACGCGTATACATTTTCTACCCCCGTAGACTCACCCTCAAGCACCCTCAAGGAGTGTATCCGTCAATGTGTTGGACGAGTCACCTTTTGACGCATGCGCGTCGAGTATGGCATCAATGCTGTATTAACATCGAACTTACAAAGGTTCTGTAAGGCCCTTTTTTAACGTATCTATATAGATCATATCATTTTTTTTTTTTTTAGAAATTCAATGAAGATTATAAAGCGAAAATTTCAATGAAAAACCAAAAATACGAGCAAACGAAAATACAATTAAGCTTAAAGACAAAGTTTATTTTCTTCTTAATATTAAATGATGAAATAATTTTCAACTTTAAGTAAACCATCTCTTCAGTCGTAAAGAAACACTAATTATATACATAAAGTATGAATTAATATTATCCCAGCATCCGAGAATGGATTAAAATGGATTAAACATTTTGTCTAATCGAATTCGTATTTTAAACAGCGAAAACTTTTTTTTGGATTCAATTGGATTCAATTAGATTCAATTGGATGCACCTGGATTGAAAAACTGCGTTTCCTATTCAAAATTTCGAATTGTACAGTATTCACTATATGGTCAGAAACGCACTAAAAAAACTGATATTATTTTTAGATTGAAAGATATACAGATGTGCTCCATGCAATTCCTATAAATGAATCAAAACGTATTCGGATTGAAAAGGATTCATTTTAACATTCATGAATCCGTATTTCTGAAAATCTGAATTCATTTTAATCCATTTCAATCCATTCTCAGATACTGGGGTAGCAACAACTGTATACTTACACTTGAAAAAACTAAACCGAACGACTATTCATAGATACGGGAAATGATAATGAACTTGAAATAATATCAACACAAACACGTGAAACTCACGTGGAACAGTATAATTATAGAAGTCGTGCGTCTCAGCAGAAACGATGTTCATTCTTAGATCAACAGGACCTTCACTGCTTTGAAAATAACAATTCAATGCTTTAAATACACAAATTCTCTACATTAGCAGTTAATTTGTGCTTTTAAAGCAGTGAATTATTTTTAAACGGTACACATTATATAGCAGAATATTTGTTTAGATACATTTTTCGAAATAATGAAAAATTATATTTAAAACCTAGTCAGTGTCTTTATTTTTATATTTGTTTTTTTTTTTTATATTTTCAGTCAATACTAACAATTAAAGTGACTGTGTTTGCTACTGACTGGCCTAAATATTTTAAAGACCGGTTTTTGAACATTGAATGTAATGTTTGCGACATAGTATCATTGCGAGCATAGTGAGCCTCCTCACTCCTGGTCCAATATTTGAGATTATCTTGAATCGTCGAGATGGTGGAATTATAGCGGTTTTTATTGGCAGAAAGCGACAGAAGTGGTCTGCGCGTAGTGCATTTCTGATTAGTCACCAAACCGAAAGGTATTTTTACATAGTATAAGCGTCAAGTGTAAGGCCTCTCTCATGTCTCCGTTGCACCAATGTAGGGCTGTGCGTGTCTTGACGCTAATAATGACCCCTTTTACACCGTTAAATTGATTGGTACGCGTATCAAGTTGGTGCGGATTAAACATGGCTACGTTCAGCGGGCTCAACAGTTGAGTGAGCGCTCTCTTGGTGTATTCTTCTAGATTTAAAATTTGATTGGATGATCTAAAAGAATACACCAATAACAGCGAGCGCTCACTCAACTGTTGAGTCCGCTGAGGGCCTCTTTTACCAACACCGATTAATTTAATCGACGATTAGTCCATTGGAATTGACCAATCGCGTCTGTCGTCGAAACTAAATGATAAATGCGATTGGTCAATTCCAATGGATTAATCGGCGTTGGTGAAAGAGGCCCTCGATGCGCCTATTGGCTGCGTTCAGCAGACTCAACAGTTTTGCAACCATTTTATGATCCGTCTCGCTTGGATTATAATTTTAGATCAAAAGGAATAGTCCTATCTCAGCAAAAAAAAAAATTGTCCTTCGATGAATCGAAGGAAAAAATAATCGGTGAAAATAATCGATAAATTGAATAAAATAATCTGTGTATTCGATCAATCGATAGAAATCGTCCATCCCTAGTGAAAGTACAGTTCGTATATAATTTCACATGAAGATCCGTCGGATCGTTGAGCTATTTTCAATTATGATCATCTGTAATGACTGCAGTTGCACTCTCTCGCTACATAAAGAGCCTACATTTGACGTATAAAAAGATGGTGACCGACCGATAGCGAGGTTTGATAACGCAAATCTTGAATATTTCCACTTGTCCTTTGCGCAATAAGACCATCAGTCCAGTGTGTAATGGACAACAGATCAGGCGCTTGAGATGTTATGAACAGTTGGAGGTCGGAGGCACCAATTTAGGTTCGTATTTGAGATGATATTCAATAACGTACAATACAGATGAGTTCGCAACTCGTGGAATGATAGTACCTCGATCGCTTTGTATTGTAAAGGCTTGGCGATAATCCCTTGTAACATATACATATGTATGTACCTCGTACATAAATAATTTCAATTGGAAAAAAAATTGGTCGTAGATAAAGTTCAATGTAAAATTGTCGCGTACGGATCGTAGCGATCAAGAAATTCTATTTTTGCACACACACATTCAAATATTCTTTATTTTTATATGCATACTTGAGTTTACCAAAATTATTAAGACGAGATTAAATGTATTACATAATTACACTAATTGCATTGTTCTTCGAAATCACAATAGTACAAGTATATTTTTTCAAGTGATTAATTTTTTTATGCTACTATGTGTGTGAATACATGATATGTACACACACACACACACACACACACATGCATGCAGCAAATTATGTGCATACCTATATATAATTATCAGTTGATATCATACAAATATAATAAGTTAATCTGTATAGTTACTATACTTCTAGAATCTATTGTGCGGACATTGTAGATATCACAAGAGAGTGAGAATATTATGAATTCTTTAAAATAGGAATAAGTTACCTTGAATTGCAATAAATTTTTTACAATGTCTCATTGCGAGGAAGATGCTGCATCTCCTGGTTTTCACCAATTGAGCATTACAAGTAAGTTGTACTTACAGAATTTCTAGATAAGAAAGATTAAAAAATATCGTTAATCTTTATTTATTGTAAATATTTTATTTTGTTGAAAGGAATATAATTGTAAATAAATCAGAATCTTTAAAAAATTTGTTTATTTTTAAAAGAATTGTATGCTGAAAGAAAAAGTAGAAAGATAAATAACATCATTTATAACATTATAATAAAAACAATGTTCAATGTTGCTTTTTATTCTAAATTATATGACATGCATT